TTAGCGACCCAAAACTATTTTCCATCAGGACAAACAACCTACACTCCAACTTCTCTATTCATCCCACGCCACCAGGACGAAACGGGAGATAGAGACCAAATAAGGGAGGGAGGGTGGGCAAAACAGGTAAGTGTGAATTAATTAAGATGGCCACTGATCTAAAATGGCCACTATATATACTCCTCTAACACAAACCCCACCTCCAGTTAAGATAGTCAGTCCCCTACATTACACCCTTCCTATGCCTGTCTCGTAGCAATGTCAAGGCCCTTTCCCCTTAGCTACGCTGCTCCATGGGCTACAGTAGTTTTGTTATTTTCGAACTAGTCATAAGAACCAGGATTATGTGTAGATATAATGCATTTCAAAACAAGATATTCTGTACAACAATTTGCAATTTACTTTAATAAAGCGATTAATTTGAAGCATTTTCAGTTAAAGGACCACTATAGGCACCCAGACCACTTCAGCTCAATGAAGTGGTCTGGTTGCCAGGTCCCTCTACAAGTTTGTTTTCCTGGCAAGAAGAGCCAAACGTTTATGTTTATAAAAAAAAGGGTTAACCCTAGCTGGACCAGGCACCCAGACCACTTCATTAAGCTGAAGTGGTCTGGGTGCCTAGAGTGGTCCTTTAATATACTGTAAATGTAAATGTAAATGTCCTATAACATTACTATTACTGCCAAGATCCTGAACAGATTGCCTGCGACCTACACAAGCAGATATTTTCTTCACAGTAGTTTACAGCGTTTTATTGTGTTGAAGCTATACTTTAGGTCAGGCTTCCCCAAGCCTGCTTTAGGTATACACTTAATAAAAAGGGAAATAGAGAAATATATTTTTAAATGAGAATAAAACAATTTTGAAGTAAAAAAGAAGGAATTGTGTAGCCTCTATCTTTTTGTACAGTTTTACCAAGTAAAATTAGTCTTGCCCTAAAGTCCTCCTGCAGAATGTTACCTTAACCTTACTTTGTACCTTTTTCATTACTTCAGAATTGCTTTTTGAATATAATCAGGCTCACCTCACAGAAGTGCTTTACAGCAGGCAAACATTGGCTCTGGATTTGTAAAACCACATTTACCATGGCGCTTACAGGACAACTGTCACCTCAAAAAAAATCTTTTTAATATAAAAATCCTATCAAGTTTTGAAAGGAAATATATCTTTTTTTTAAACTGAAGTATATGTCAAATGAGAAAAATCTCATCCCTGTCTGACAGTATCCTTCAGCTATGCATATGCATCTTGAATCAGAGAGGATTTCTTTTAAAACTTGATGAAAGAATTATATTAAACAAAGTTTGGAAGTGACAGTTGTATCTTAACACTTGTAAAAGAGCAAATGTGTCATTTCATAGGATGTCTACCCATCCAGATTCCCCAACACTTCTTTTCTACCTTAAAATCCATCATCCTCCATATTATCTGGAACGGAAGCTCCCTTAAACTTAAGTTGGCTCAGCTCTATCCTCCTAAAGCTAAAGTAGGGTTTGCTTTGCCTTCGCTCCTCAAATACTACCAGGAAACCATCTTGTGCACTTTGTGAAGTAGTACTGCCATGCACATGAGAAACCCTGGGGATCGCTGTAGACCTCTGGCCCATTCTCCAGCTTGTGGTCTCCGGTATGACTATAGAGGCATGTTCTTCCCCCATCTTATGTGTCAGTCTTAGAGTATGTGATTGTTGTGGCCTCTCTTCCCTTCCAACCCCAATGACCCCTTTGCTGAAGCTAGCATTCCTGGGGGTGTCAGGAAGTTGATTTTGCTTTTTTGAGGATAGAGGAGCCCATTGCATAATACCCCGGTCTCTGGAGGGACACTGAAATTCTTGAAAGAGTGGATCCTGAGCCGTCGCTTTTGTCTTATTAATGCAAAATTGATTTGCAATACTAAATGTAATGTTACATTTTTTTTGTAAATATGTTTTTATTGAACATTTCGTTGTTTTTTTTTGCTTTGTTTTTTCGTTTGTTATCAACATGGAACAGAAAAACATGGACACGCAGGTCCCTTTGGTCATTTGCACATGTTTATACATTATAGGGCATAGTCTGTTAGACGTGTCTTGGCGACTCGCAGGTCGCTTTCTTGAGTAAATGGTGTGTGCATAGTTACGAATAGTACTTTGTTAGATCTGACATGTACCTTTTCTGCATTGGGTAGTTTTGTATGTCCTGACAATTTTCATCTAGTCCCCCATGCCCACCCTGTAGCCACCATGCAGTCCTAGGATATGTGGGGTACCTACTGTGTAGGGTCCCATCAGGGCACGCAGCCTCCTTGCTACCCTGTGTCTAAGGTTCAGGATGGTGGTATAGTTGGGTGTTGACCCCCTACGCTGGTACAATTCGGCTCTGCCCAGCGTTATACATTGGTGTGGATGGGAGTAACCTAAGGGGCATCCTGCATTTCCTTCTAAACTAGTAACGTTTGTAACTCGCGGAACTGGCGCTCTTCCACCCCGCGTACCAGCGGGGCCATAAGCCGTTTTGGGCACTGCAGGTGTCCGCACCCCAACAGGTATCGTACCCCCCGCAGCACGCCCCTGAGGGGCCGACCCCCCGTGTCCCGAGCCCGTGCTCCTCCCGGACCTGCCAGTGTGTGGGGTAGGGTGGGGTACTGCGTCTTGGGCCAGGTGTGGGTCGTCCCGTTAGGCTCCTGGTGTCTCCTCCTGGGGGTCGTCCGTTCCTCCCCCCATGGTCAAATGCACAGTTTGAAATGCCTCCGTTCCCACCCGTGTCAGCCAGGGTGTCCATGTGTCTAGGTATGTCTGCATTCGGTCATGGGCTGAGTACCAGATTTCCTCCGTTACTCGTAACTCCTCCATTCTAGTAAACCACAGGGAAAGCATTGGGGTTGTGTCTTTTTTCCAGTACAAAGGTATTAGGTGTTTTGCGACATTAAGAATGCGGATGGTCAGGGAGCGTTTGTATCGTGGTGTGGGGGTTGTCGTGTGGTGCAGGAGGTACGGGGCGGGCTGGAAGGGTGGGACATTATCCATGAATAGGGCCACCGTGGCAGCTATTTTCTCCCAGAACGGTACTATGAGTGGGCATTCCCACCATATGTGGAGGAAGGATCCTACCCCTCTCTTGCACCTCCAGCAGAGGCCGTCCGTGTCTAAGTGCATTCTCTGTAAGCGTTCTGGTGTCAAGTACCATTGTGTGAGGACCTTGTAGGCCGTTTCCTGCATTTTGCTAGCAATTGCGCAGTGGTGCACTAGGTCGCAGATCTTGTGCCACTGGGTCTCGGTAAGTGTTTCTCCTATGGTGGTCTCCCATTTGGACATGAAGGGGGGTGGGGGTTGTCCCTGTTGTCGTTGTAGCATAGAGTAGAGGTGGGAAATGCTATGGGGCATGGGCTCCGGGTCCTGGCACAACTGTTCGAATTGCGTGAGATCCCTATAGACATAGGGGTGTTGTGGTATGGCGATGATGTAGTTCTTAATTTGGGTGTACCTAAATGTCATCATGAAGGGGTGGGTGGGTGTGCCCGTGAGCGTCTGTAGGGACAAGATTTTCCCATTGGCAGTCATGTCTCGGAGTCTGGGTATGTCTTGTGGAAGGACGCAGCGGAGGTTTCCTGGTCTTAACCCCGGTTCAAAGTCCGGGTTGTACACCAAGGGTAGTAGTGGGGATGGGAAGGAGGAGAGGCGTAGTTTCCTCGCTTGTGTGTGCCATATGGTTAAGGTGGCGGTGATGAATGGTTGTTGGTAGACCAACCGCCGACCCGTCGGGGGGTCCAGCCACAGGAGGGCTGAAAGGGGCCTGCCTGCGTGGTGGGTTTCAATGGCCTTTCAGGGTTTGCTTATCCCCTCTTTTGCCCATTCCAGGGCCCGTTGCATGTGGCATGCTTGGTAGTACAGTTAATGAGGAGGGTGCAGAGTGCTGCGAAGAAGGTGCTAGGGAGTGGGATTGGTAGTGTCTGGAATAGGTAGAGGACCCGTGGGAGGATGTTCATTTTGGCAATGGCAACCCTGCCAAGCCAGGAAAAGTGAGGTGTGGCCCATTCTGTCAGATTCTTCCGTATGGTTCCCAGCAGTGGGGTGAAGTTCATATGGTATAGTTTGGATAGGTTGGCTGTGAGCCTCACCCCCAGGTATTTAATAGCGGTGTCCCGCCATTGGAAGGGGAAGTTCAGTCTGATTTGGTCTGCCCTCCTCTGGGGGGAGCCAATGTTGAGGATAGAGGATTTGGCATAATTGATCTTGAGGTTGGCGATTTGGCCGTATGTCTTAAACTCTGCCATGAGGTTTGGGAGGGAGATTTCCGGGTTAGTAATAAATAATAGCATATCGTCCGCATATGCTGCGATCTTGTGGTGGTCTGTCTCTACTGTCACCCCCAAGATATCTGGGTTATCCCTTACCGCTTGTAGGAAGGGCTCTAGGGCCAAGATGAATAAAAGCGGCGACAGGGGGCAGCCCTGCCTGGTACCATTCCTGATCGGGAATGCATCTGTATAAACCCCGTTTATGCACACCCTGGCCGTGGGGGATGAGTAAAGCGATTCTATCCACTGGCGCATATGAGTCCCCAGGCCGACATGTTCTAGTACCGAGAATAGATAGTCCCATGCCACCCTATCGAAGGCCTTCTCCGCGTCCGTGGAGAGGAGGAGAAGGCTCTCCGAGGTGCACTGCACGTGGTGGATCAGGGAGAGGGCCCGGACCGTATTATCTCTGGCTTCCCTGTGGGAGACGAAGCCCACTTGGTCAGGAGAGATTAAGTCTGGTATGTGTGGGTTTAACCTTGTAGCTAGTATTTTAGCAAACAGGCGTAGGTCGCAGTTAAGTAGCGATATAGGTCGATAGCCCATACACCGTTCGGTATCTCCCCCCTCCTTCGGCAGCAGGACAATGTTGGCCGCCAGTGTTTGCTGGGCGATGGTATGTCCCTCTGTTATGGAGTTGAAGGCCGAGACATATCAGGGGGACAGTGTGGTCAGGAAGGTTTTATAGTATTTGAGGGGGAGGCCATCTGGGCCCGGGCTTTTGCCTGTCTTTGAGTCTTTGATGGCCAGGGCCAGTTCCCCCTCCGTCAGCGGTGCCTCCAGGGCCTCCGCTGCGTCTGGGGAGAGTTTGGTTTGGTGGGAGGGGATCGCGTAAAGGTCTGTGTAGAAGCGAGTTATAGCTGCTGCGATTTGGTCTGGCATGTGGTGTAGTTGGCCTGCGGCGTCGCGCATGCGTGCGATGTATGTCATGGAGCGTTTTTTATGGATCATTCTGGCCAGCAACCTGCCGCACCTGTCTCCTTCTGAGTAGAAAAAGGATTTAGTGCGCTGGAGGGCCCCAGTGTAAGATTGCCACAGGACCCGTGCTAGTTCTTCCCGGGCTGCTGTGAGTTCCCCGAGAAGTGTGTCGTCTAGTGTTCATTTGTGGGCCTGTGTCAGGGTCCCTATCTTGGCAGTAAGTTCTCGGATCGTATGTTCTCGCGCCCTTTTCAGGGCAGAGGAGTGTGAGATAAAGATCCCTCTAATCACACACTTGTGGGCCTCCCATGTCAAGAGGGGGGATGTGTCCTGCGGTGGGTTCTCGGCGAAGTAATTCATCAGGGCTTGTTGTACGTCTCGGGTCACCTGCGGGTTGGAGAGAAGGCTTTCGTGAAGCCTCCATGACGTAGTTTTGGGTTTGCATAGTGGCGATGTGAGTTGAATCGTGAGTGGTGCGTGGTTGGACCACATTGTCCCCCCTATTGCTGAGTCACGCAGTCTGGGTAGGTAGTAATATGGAAGGAAGAAGTAGTCGATGCGTGTGTAACAGTCATTCGGGGTCGAGTAGAAGGTGTAGACCCTAGCCGTCGGGTGCGTTGCCCTCCAGCAATCCGTAAGCCTGTACTGTTGGAGCAGTTTACGAATTTTGAGCAGTGTAGGGGGGGTGTCGATGAGTGGCCCCTGGAGGTGTCCATCGTTGGGTGTAGGGCGACATTAAAGTCCCCTCCCAGGACCAGACAGCCTGTCGTGAAGTCGTGCAGGGCCCGGAGTGTGTCCCGAAGAAATTTGTCCTGTCGCGTGTTTGGGGCATAGATGTTGGCAAAGGTATAGGTTTCGTCCAGGATTTTACCCCTAACAAATACATATCTGCCCAAATTATCCATCATGGTCGAGTCAGCTACGAAGGGTATGGATTTGTGTAGGAGTATTGCTGTCCCCTTAGATTTCCCGTCCGGGTTATTGCTGTAGAAGCCTTGGGTGTATATGTGGTTACCGAGTTTCGGAGCAGAGTCGGTTTTAAAGTGGGTTTCTTGGAGATAGACCACATGGGCTCTAGTTTTCTGGCAGAGGCGGAGTGCGTGTGACCTCTTTTCGGGGGAGTTTAAGCCCTTTGCGTTTAGGGATAGGAAGTTGAGTGGGGCTGGTGCGTATTTGGACGCAGGTGTAGCCATATTGTCAAGTCCCCCAAGTGTCTGAGTCATCCCAGTCCGTGGGGGCGGGTGAGGGCCCAGGTAGGGAGAGTTTGGTCCGGGGCAGGCAGGGCGCCCCTGTTATGGAGCAGAGGCACCGGCGTCAGGGGGGTAGAAATCCCCCGGCCCGGAGAGCGGAGCGGGGGACGACCCCCCCTATACAGAAGACACCGACCTCACGGGGAGTGGAAGGCGCCTTGTCAACCAGCCAACAGAGGTGGTTGTGGATCACAACAAACACTAACAATTGTAACTCGAACCTGTGATATACTTTTGTTGTGTCTCCGGGGCGAGTCTCCCAAGGTATGGCCGGGTTCCAGCCGGGACTGCGACCTCTTGGTGATACCTTTGTGTGTCTGCGGGAACTCACCCCCGGGTCCTGACATTGTCTAGTCTGAGGGGAAGGTCTATGAGCCGACCCAGGGCTTAACCCCCTTACTACAGCTCAGATGTCTAGGATGCTAAGAGACTCCACCCCCACCCAGCCTCCCCCCACTCCCCTCCCCCACGTGCACCAGTGTGGCCCCGTGGTGCCGTTCCTCTTGCCCCGAAAGTGGTGTGGAGAGCCCGTGTCCCCCCTGAGGGCATCCCAACTAGTGGACCCCCCATTGGGTTCCCCCATCTGTATGGAGGTGGGTGGTGTTGCTCCGGGGTCAGCCCATCTCTGGTCTGTGTGTGCGGGTGCTTGCGCACTAGTATATACAAAGCTGTACCCCGGTGTAGCCTATTCTGGCACCTCTCCATTGTTGCATACGAACCGATAGACATTTTGAACTTGCACAAGTGTATAACCCGTGAGATAAATAGTAGACAAGTTTAGCATGTGTAGGAGGCAATTCTAGCATAAACAGGCATATACCCCATATTAAACAGAGATAAAGCAAGTGGGGAGAATGAGGGAGCAAGTCCAGAGGGAATCCTACAAATAAAGTGACCATAGGATAGCTCCTAGGAAAGACCTACCATGTTACATAAAATGTGATGGGCTATTTGAGCATGCGCGGGCGTGTATGCACGGCTACCTACCGACCAAGGCGCCATGTGAGCATGGCACGTATATAGCGGTCAATGCAATGCAGTAAGCAATTTAAGCATGTGTGGGCGCCTATGCCATGCTATGTGCCCTGCCGTGGGACGTGGCAACGTGTGCGGGCGCATAAGCAGTGGTTTGTAGCGTAAAGGGTGGTTGCAATCTGTGTGTGCGGGTATGCGCGTGATATACCATGCCGTAGATAGTTTTAGCATGCGTTGGCACATATGCTGGTTAAGGACAATGCAGTGGGCCATCTCAGCATGTGCAGGCGCGAAACAAAGCTCAGTGGGTGCCACCACTTGCGGGCGCTACTAGGTACCACAGTCCCTTGGGCCACGTCCCCCAGCCCACCCACCCCCCTCGGGGTGGACGGGGCCTTATGTCCATGGTGAAGCTTCCGGGCGGCATGGCCGTAGGTGGGGTATGGCTCGGCAACCGTTCACACTGCCCGGCAAGGGATGCTGTTCCGGGAGGCAGAGGGGCAGAGTGCCAATGTGGGTGTCCAATCGATAGGTTGGCCAAGTTTGTGCCTTGAGACAGTGTCCAAGTCCTGTAGCAGGACTGTGGGTTCCCCAGCGAGGGCCAGGCCGGTGCGGGGCATAGTGTGGGGGAAGAGGGGGGGAAAGTCATGCCCTCTAGCGGGCGGTACCTGTAGGCCTAGTGGCCTCCTGGCGTCCCCATCGAGTGCATTGCGGCAGCGCCGGTCTCGGGTAGGGGTTTCTTGCGGTGGTGTAGATGTCCAATGGGTCAGGCCATCTCATGTTGATGGCGGGCAGTTAGAGCTCGGTGCCCAGGGCTATGTAGTCGCTGTGTGTGCGGACCAGGAATGGGCCTCTCGGCGTGTGGACGAGCAGTCCCATGGGCATCTGCCATCTGTACCGGATCTGTTGAGCCACCAGTATCCTCGTGAGTGGTTTCAGGGCGCGTCGGTAGGTTAGGGTAGCCGGCGATAAATCTGGAAAGAGTTGCAGGTCTTGGTTCCGGTAGGTGAGCGTTTGCTGGCCTTGTGCTTGTTTAAGGATAGTCTCCTTTAGGGCAAAATTCGCCAGGCAGCAAATGACGTCCCTGGGCGGGCTGTCCGGCGCGCCCTTAGGACGGAGGGCTCTATGAGCTCTTACAAAGTCTATAGGTGCCTGGTGATCACGGCCGAGGATCCCATTAAATATTTCCAGGAGGCTTTCCTGCAGCTGTTGGGGGGAGTCCTCAGTTTCAGGGAGGCCGCGCAGCCTTAAGTTATTGCGGCGCCCCCTGTTATCCAAGTCCTCAATATGCAGGGCCATGCCACGTACCTGTTCTGAGGAGGTTTCTGCAGCCTCAGCAAGTGTATTCTGGGCCTCTCTCAGTGTCACAGGCTGCCTCCACGTGGCTCATCCGGTCTGTCAGGCCCTGCAGGTCAGCTCTCAGCGCCTGGATGTCCTGCCTGATTGCGGCTCCCAATTCTGAGGTGGCCGAACGGAGGTCTCCCTTGGTGGGCAGGGCTCTCAGGAGGTCCAGCCATGGGGGTCTTTCCGACTCTCCGGTGTGCAGATCAGACGCCGGCGATGAGGGCGCGGAATCTTCCGACGCCATTATGCTATCGGCGCCATGCGGCTGGGTCGCGAGGTCCGCGGGGGTAACCAGGATCTGGCGGAGGGACGAGGTAAGTTGTCCCTTTTTGGGCTCTGGGGCCTTCCCGGTCGGTGGGGCCCTGTTTGACCTCCCCATGTCAGCAGTGGAGCGGGTGGGCTTGTGCCGGTGAGTCGGGACCCGGGCGGAGGGAAAAATTATGCGGCCATTTGCTTAGGCTGCCAAACCACGCCCCCCCAAATGTAATGTTACATTATACCTTACATTGGAGACATACAGTAAATATTTTTCAGTGGGTAAATCGGAAATTGCAAAGTTTATCCGTAAAATATATATTTTTATTTTATGTACTTTAAACGCTTATGGGGTGTTTTAACCCATTAAGGACACATGACATGTGTGACACATGACATTTTATTCCATAAGTTTGGTCCTTAAGGGGTTAATAAAATTATTCACGTTACTTTTCATGCTATAACTTTTTTGTTTGAAAAATATTTGGCCGTGAAAGGGGTTAAGTCAATAAGTCACTGGGCATTCCGACAACCTATTAAGAATTCTGAATATAGATTTTCCTAATTTGGAAAACATAAAAATGTTTGGTTCAAATATAGTATAAAAATAGGATATCTGATCAACAACATGGCAGTAGGGAATCTGCGAATAGAGCTCTCAATCTGTGATTGTGAATTACATTATCAATTTACGAATTGCATTTATTGCAATAAAATAGAAATGTCTCCTGCAGTGACTTTATCTTTCCACCTAACTAATGGAATAAAATATCCGAACAGCCTGTCTTCACAATAAAAATCCACTGGAATCCTTCTATTTCAAACAAACTGCAGGAGATTTTGGCCTCTAAAGCAGACCTTACCAGACTGATCACTATTAAGCGGCACCTGTCATGATAAATTGACTTGCTATCACTTTACAGAGAGTACAATATCATCTGCTCAGCCAGCAAGCCAAGTTGCTATCACAGGCACAAATTAAAGGGCATTGACACTTCTATTGTCTAAAACCAGTTTAATGTGACAATAACTTCTTTAAAATCAAAGGTTAGAACACTTTTCATGATAGAAATTTTGATGATAGCGCACAGTTAAAAGGACAGGTACCTTCGCAGATACATGATGTTTAACTCTCACTGCGCTATCCTTCACCTGACAGCTGATAAAGCTTGGGCTGTGAGCCGTCAGGATCAGATTTATACAATTTTATCTAGCCAAGTTTAGTTGTCATTGGTACATGGAGATCTGGCAGTTTTCTACTGTGGCGGGAGTCATTTTGGGATTGCATCAAGAGTTTCAAAGCTTTGGCTACAGTAACTTATAAATAACACTGCATATTAATGGTGCCAACCAAAATCTGTCATTTGAGCTGCTCCCATCATGCATTGTAGAGACTGTACACTTTGATGATATGCCCACTGCATGCAAAGAAAATCAAGAAATATATTCTAAACTAGTTGAACAGATTCAATGGGTACATTTAACCTATGCTCTTTTTAAAGAGCATTAAGTGCTGGCTTGGGAGAATAGGAATAGAGTGACTGACACCACTCAGTTCAAACCCCAGCATGCTGGCACTGTAGCTAGGGTTTTAGCATCGCAGAAGAGATTTGCTCTGCGTGGGCAAGTGTTTCCAAGTAGGGCAAATCACAAAAGTGAGCAGACAAGCAGCAAGCGGACCGTAGGTGTAACACCCGCGAAGGTGAGGACGTGACGACACTGGATCTGAGTTAAGGTGAGTTTCTATATTTTACATTGAACACATTTTGTATCTCTGTGATAGATGATATATTCAATGTATTTGGGGATGATTTATATTAAACTGAATCTGTGACATGTTCACTGTAACAATTAGTTACACAAACTATCAGCAGGCTTCAAGGAACTATTCCCCCCTCCCCAACTATTACCTGGATACTATCTGCAAAAAAAGAAAATCCAATTAAGGGTTGCCACTGGGGAATACAAGCCGTTCTGCCTGTCCCAGATGATGAAGGTTGTATATTAGGGATTGTGGGATGCTGCATACAATATTTTTGGGCAGGCCGACAATAAATCCATTGTGCCAGCCATCTTGGATTAATCCACTGTGCCAGTCATCTTGGATAAATCCACTGTGCCAGTCATCTTGGATAAATCCATTGTGCTAGCCATCTTGGGTAAATCCATTGTGCTAGCCATCTTGGATAAATCCATTGTGCCAGCCATCTTGGATAAATCCACTGTGCCAGTCATCTTGGATAAATCCATTGTGCTAGCCATCTTTGATAAATCCACTGTGCTAGCCATCTTGGGTAAATCCATTGTGCTAGCCATCCTGGATAAATCCATTGTGCCAGCCATCTTGGATAAATCCATTGTGTCAACCATCTTGGATAAATCCATTGTGCCAGCCATCTTGGATAAATCCATTGTACCAGCCATCTTGGATAAATCCATTGTGCCAGCCATCTTGGATGAGCCATTATAAAGCTCCAGCTATGTAAATATTTTACTCTATATATCTCAAAGTGAATTTAGTAGCACAATATACAGATCTGGTTTAAATAGCTATCTGGCTATCTGAAGCAAAAGCTGATATTATAGATGATGAAGTAATTATAACATTTTTACAACAATATAATACTGCTCCCAACTGGAAGAGATGGTACATTTAATCTGTCACCTATAGTCAGCCCAACTGCAGCTGCCTGGTTAATGTGGAAGAGTGAATTATTATGTTATAGATCCAAACACGTCCAAGCTTGGATAGCAATGATTCATATTTTATGTCAATAAACTCTAAAATTGAGTGATACAAAATGGATGGAGAGTGCAACACCCGAAGACTCATAGCACCATAACCACTGCAATAAACTATCCTGGTTATGCTTCCTTAAAGGGATACTGTAGTGCCAGGAATACAAAGCTGTATTCCTGCTACTATCGCTCCTCCCCCCCCCCCAGTAAATAAAGGGTAAAAAAACTTTACTTACCTTTTCCCAGTGATGATTATCCTTGAGCTGGGTCAGTGCTCTGCCCCCTTCGCATGACGAGTGGGATCTACTGCCCATGCGTGGCAAATGCCGTGCGCGCATTAGACCTTCCGCATAGTAAAGCATTGAATCAATGCTTTCTTATGGGGAAAAATCTGCAGAGGGTGAGGACTGGGAGACAGCCACTGAGTGCAGTCTTAAAGTTGCAATGTAAACACTAAGTGCAAAAGGGACACAGCACCCAGACCAATTCAATTAGTTGAAGTGGTCTGGGTGCCTACAGCAGGGCCAGATTAACATAGGGGCTGATGGAGCTGCAGCTCCAGGCCCATGCCCATGGAATAGGAACATTGATTTTGAAAAAAAAATACAAAAAACATTTTTTTTACTACTCTTCACATGCTCTTGCTTAAGTATGAAACTTAGGAGACATGTAGGGGCACAAACCTTGTGTGGACTGGCTGGCAATGAAATTAGTTAAGGTAAAGCTGACTGTGCACTATGCAAATGCTCTTGCTGCTTTGGTCTCTCTGACACTGTGGCATGTTCCCTTTCTTCTACACTCACTACATACACCTGTTCAGACTGTATAAAAAGAGCTTCTGCCTGCTAGTATGAAGGTTAGGAGAGGAGTAAACAAGCGAGTGCTAGGGGACAGTGTCACGGTTCTTGCCGTGACATCCAGATGTGGTCACCCCAGAGGTGCCCAACAGGGGATTTGAACCTGAGGCTTTATGCATTCCAAGCCTGCGTTCCTAAGCCACTATTTCAGATCATGTAACAGCCTGAAGTCTGATCTTGTCTTATCTGCAGCACCAGGGGGCTTCACCAGTGGCTCTCACCTGTCTATCTAAGCCCACCTGAATCAGATCAGTATTAGCTGGGTATTTAAGCACTGCCTCGCCCTGGGAACTTTGCTAGTTCATTGACTCTGGTTCTGCTGTTTGGTTCCTGTTTCTGAGTATCCAGATCGTGTGTACCTCCAGTTTGTTCCTGGCTCCGGACCTTGGCTCTTCTTATCGATTTCTCTGGCTTCCCCTGACTATGGTTTTCAAAGACTACTCTTCTGCTTGTCCTTGCCTGTACTGTGACTTGGAGTATATCCCTGCACAGACTCACAGGCCAGGTGAATTCTTACCTGACCACCTTGGTCTGTGTTTATTTGCAAGGGTGAGCATTATGTCTGCTTACTGGACCTCCAACTAAGGTAAGCCGTGACACAGTCCTTAGAAAGCGTGAAGCAAGCTCATGATTGGCTGGGCTAGTCTTAAAATTAATCGGGCAGACATGCCACTTTTTTTTTTTTTTTTTTTACATGTTTGTACCTCTTTGGGGGGTGCCGGTTATGTGATTCGCGTCAGTGTCCCACCCTTTCACCCCACCCACCGACGTCCTGCTTCACAGGACAATGCTGTTAGGGGGTATGGACTTACTTGAGAGATGAAATCGAAAGATTAGCAAAGGGTATGTGTTTTCTTATATCTATAGCCTGTAAGTTTATCTCTAGCACCACCTCCAGATACATGACACTTGGGAGGTAAGACTTTTTTCAGTGTTTTCTGTCGATAAGATTCTGTAATTAGGTCCATCATAATTGTCATCATCAGGTCCAATGGGTTTTTAATCTGGCCTACAGTGTCCTTTAAAAAAAAAAAAAAAGAAATCCTTTTGACTCGTTTGTGAGAATTTTGCCTTGCTGCGCTTGGCTGCAGAACTGAAAGGGTTAAATATATTATTATCTAGCTTAGTGGTTTTCAAACTTCTTAGGTTAAAGGTGCCCTTAATATTTCAATATTGTTCCAAGGCGCCCAAGTCAAAAAAAGTCTAAGTTGTACAATGCTGCGGCATATTCTGGGCCCCTGTTCAGCAGAAATGTTTCCCTTTCAAGGGCTGATCCAGAACCTAATCTCGGGAGGGGCACTAGTAGATTATTTAAAGAAACAATTACCACTAGAGCACTATGTAGTGGTTATGGTGCCAGGAGTGCTGTGGTACCCACCCAGGGTAAGTAGTCAAACTGTTTAGGGGTGCAATGTGTGTGTGGATTACGTTTTTGTAAAGGATGGTGTGTGTGTGGGGGGCAGTGTGTGTGTGTGTGTGTGGGGGGCAGTGTGTGTGTGTGTGTGTGTGGGGGCAGTGTGTGTGTGTGGGGGCAGTGTGTGTGTGTGTGTGTGGGGGCAGTGTGTGGGGTGGCAGTGTGTGTGTGTGTGGGGGTGCAGTGTGGTGTGTGTGTGTGTGTTGGGGGGCAGTGTGGTGTGTGTTGGGGGCAGTGTAGTGTGTGTGTGTGGGGGCAGTGTGTGTGTGGGGGGCAGTGTGTGTGGGGGGGCAGTGTGGTTGGTGTGTGTGTGTGTGGGGGTAGTGTGGTTGGTTTGTGCGTGTGGGGGGTGCAGTGTTGTTGGTGTGTGTGAGCACTAGAGCACTATGTAGTGGTTATGGTGCCAGGAGTGCTGTGGTACCCACCCAGGGTAAGTAGTCAAACTGTTTAGGGGTGCAATGTGTGTGGGGGTTGTTTTTGTAAAGGATGGTGAGGGGGGCAGTGTGGTGTGTGGGGGCAGTGCAGTGTTTGTGTGTGTGTGTGTGTTGGGGCAGTGTGGTGTTTGTGTGTGTATGGGGGCAGTGTGTGTGTGTGTGTGTGTGTGGTGGGCAGTGTGGTGTGTGTGTGTGTGTGGGGGAGTAGGGGGCAGTGTGGTGTGTGTGTGTGTGGGGGGGCAGTGTGGTGTGTGTGTGTGTATAGGGGGAATTATCAGGGGTAGCAGGGTAGATTAACAAATATAAAAACAGGAAGAAAGTTGTGTATTGTATCCCACAAGGGGAAACTAACAGCAGGGAAGACTCCCCAGATAAAAAAGTAAACCCTGCTTTTATGGAATCTAGGGATATATAGGATATGTAAACACTAAATATAACATATAACAAAAAAGGGAGATCAACTAAATGGTACTATGGGGGTCCATAAACTGTAGTGCAATGATTCGCCAAAAACTCTAGTCCCCCTAGTATGCGACTAATAAAAAGGTAGCATAGGTGAGGTAAAGGAAAGAATATATAACATACACAGGAAAAAAGGGGGACCGTCGGCAAACATCAACAGGCGTGTCTATATAATTCCCAAGAGGGAGATGAGTTTGGGAAACCAGGCCCACCCATCGGGCCAGGCCGTCCCCAGCATCTCTAATAGACTTTTTTTTACATGTTATATTTTGTGTTTACATATCCTATATATCCCTAGCTTCATTAAAGGCAGGGTTTCCTTTTTATCAGTGGAGCTTCCCTGCTGTTAGTTTCCCCTTGTGGGACACTATACACTACTTTCTTCCTGTTTTTGTATGTTTGGAGGGTTACCCCCTTATTCTAGGAGCTCCTTATTAGGTGGTCACAGAGGTGCAGCCCATGAGCCCTTGACTTGCGCCTGCACTATGTTTACTCTATTTCTCCATTTTGTTAGATTAACAAATATAAACTACTTATTTAAATTAAATCATTTTAAAATACATTTAAAAAAATATATTTTCATATCCCCCTCCCTTCTTACCTTTGTCTGGGAGAGTACAAGGCAATCCCTGGTGGTCTGGTGGAGAATCCCTGGTGGTCCCAGGGATTAGAGTAAACTTTAGCAGCTCCTGAGGCAAAAATTAATTCTCACGATATTCGGAGCGTTGCCTTGTAACCGCAGTAACACTCCGAGATGGCGAGAGGGGAACCCGGAGGAGCTGCAGGTTAGAGCTCCCCCGGGTCCTCTCTCCCTCCCCTGCCAGTTGCCAGCATTACACTGCTAGTGATCTCCCCTCTGGTCCTGCACAGCTGACAGGAGAGCGTGAGGAACGGTTCCTGGTGCTATGATTATAGCACCAGGGAAACATTTTGTGGCGCCCCTGTGTGGCCGTCACACATTTTGGGAACCGCTGGTCTAGCTAAAGTCCCTAACATTCAGTTGTGTCTTGTTTGTAAATTTAGAAAGTCTTCATTCGTATTATTGAGGCTGTGTTTTTTTTCCCATTACTTTAGTGGGTACAGAAACTAAAAGCAGGAACTGATTGGGATATTGTATGTTTTATTTTCTCCCATACTTTTTAATTTTTTTTAATTTTTGGTATGAAGGAATAGTGGTGATTTCAGCATGTGTTTTATTGCTTTAACTGGCTTGAAAGAATACTAAAAACAAAATTTACCGTATATACTCGAGTATAAGACGAGTTTTTCAGCACATTTTTTGTGCTGGAAAAAAGCCCCACTCGACTTATACTCAAGTCACTGTCTGTATTATGGCAACTTACATTGCCATAATACAGACCAGGACCGCCGGGCTCATTACAAGCCCGGCAGCCCTGTTGGGGGCTGGGAGCAAGCTGTTACTTACCTTTACAGCAGCTCCATTCAGCTCCCTTCTCCTCCGTGCCGTTCAGCTCCAGTGTAAGTCTCGCGAGAGCCACGGCCGTCAGAGTTACCATGGCAATGCTCTGCACGGCACGCAGACTGCAAGACTTACACTGGAGCT